GTCAAGAGGAAAAGGATGGCTAGTGCCTCCTAATTTCTGCAGTTTTGGAGGGAATCAGAATTGCCGGCCTGGCCAGGGGATGGAGGTAATTCCTTGCCTGTGTTTGCATTGGACGGATATTTTCCCTGCAGGTTTATGTACATTCCAGCCCAGATCAGTCATTTCTGACCCCAGGACCCTTATGGAGGCGGGAGAGGTCGTTTATCAAGAACTCCTTGACATCCAGCTTTGTAGTTGTAGACCAGAAGTGCTCTTGCACACACCTTCCAAGAATCTAATTCAAGAGCCTCACTCAGAGAAGCGTATTTGAGTCCAGTAACTCCCTAGAGACCAACAAGGGTTTTCAGATACCAGACGAAAGGAGCTTCGATTCTCGATTCGAACATTCATACCCCGAAAATCGTGTCGGTCTTTAAGGTGCCGCTGAACTCAAAAACTAGCCATCCCACTGCATACCAATATGGCTACACTCCGGGACTCAGAGCAGCCATTTGCCCGAGGTCAGTTCCTTCCCTGTGTGTGCTTGAGAAAGAGAGATCCTCGCCGCTATTGGAGGAGTCACGTAGCATCTCGGGACTGCATTTCCAGGCGCTCAGCCTCTCGGACCTCTGTTGCTTTTCTGTTCCAGCTCATCGGCCTTTGTTCCCATGGGGAGAATCAGATAAAATATCCCACCTTCCTCCGAGCATTCCAGTGCTGATCTCCGTGAAAGGTAAAGCATGAAAGAGAGAGAGAGAGGTCGGAACTTTCCCATATAGATCAAGTGTATATTAAAGTATTAAAGTGTGCTAAATCTTGAGCACCCGGCTGGGTCTGGTCAATCATTTCGAAGCACTCGGCGCAAAAAAAATAAACAAAAATCAAACGTGTTCATATGCTCGGAGCAGAAAAATAAACAAAAATCAAACGTGTTCATATTTAGTGTTCCCTCTAAGCTGAGTTAGTGTGAGCCAGCTCGCAGTTTTTTAAGCCTCTAGCTCACTCGTTTTTGCCTTGGCTCAGGAAGGAGGGCTCCAGAGCAAACTAATGTATGCAGCAGCCAAATGGCTCGCTCACCACTTTAACGCCAGGAGCTGACAAAGTAGGATTTTTGCTCCCAAGACTCCACCGCTTAGAGGGAGCATTGTATTGTGCGCGCTCACATTTTGCTAGAGGACACCCTGCCCCCTTCCGCAGGAGGTGTCTCTGGTTCCATTTCCATCATTGGTGCGTGTTAAGTGCCATCCGGTCCCTTCTGACCTATGGCGACCTGTCAAGCTCAGGCCTGACTTTCGATTTCTTTTTAGATTCTGTTTCTTTTAACCTTCGCTTGTCATGTTAAATTCATGGGGGGAGGCATGGAGTGCATGGGAGTAGAGGCCGTAACTTTCTTGAAGCTGCACCCCCCCCCACAGGGATGGTTCCCGTGGGAGTAGGTTTAGATAGGGCACCACATATCTGTCTGTGTTGCCATAGAAACGCAGGGGTTAGGTGTGATGTGTGAGCGAGTGGGATGTTTATGCTTTACCTATATCTTGTATTTCCCCGCGGATTTCTTTAGCCCTAACAGAACCCACAGCATTGTATTTCTAATCAAGCATTACACAGCCAATAGTGTGTGCGGAGAATGAATTGACTATGAATTCATGACCTCCAAAACATGCTATTGGCAGCCCTGCTTAGGTCTTGCAAACCGAGGACCGGGGCTTCCTTGACGGAGTCCTTCCACCTTGCGGTAGGTCTTCCTCTTTTCCTGCCGCCTTCAGTTTTCCCCAGCGTTGTTGTCTTCTCCAGTGAGTCCTGTCTTCCCATAACGTGACCAAAGTACGATAGCCTGAGTAAATTCTTTTAGTTTCTAGGGAGAGTTGAGGCTCGATTTTATCTAGAGCCCAGTGAATGTGTCCTTTTGGAGGTCCACGGTATCCGTAAAACCCTCCATCATCACATTTCGAAGGAATCAACTTTCTTCCCGTCTGCTTTTCTTCACTGGCCAACTTTCACACCCATTCGTAGTGACGGGGAATACCATGGCATGAGTTCCCATCGTCGGTGGAGGTTGGATATTGAGCTAGGCAAAGAAAACCGTACAATATTTGCTTCCGGCTTTCAGAGCTCTTTGGCAAGGGATCGCTACCAATGCTCCCTCTAAGCCGTGGAGTCCGGTGAGCAAAAATTCTACTTTGTGAGCTACCGGCATTAAAGTTGTGAGCGAGCGATTTGGCCACTGCATAAATTAAGTTTGCTCTGGAGCCATCCTTCCCGAGCTAAGACAAAAACGTGTCAGCCAGAGGCTAAAAAACTGTGAGCTAGCTCACACTAACTCAGCTTAGAGGGAATACTGGTCGCTACCCTGCTGTTAGTTTTAAAAACTGTTCTAAGCTTTGATGCACCTTCGAAGCCCCTCGGCGTCGAGTCATGCCGGCCACATGACCACGGAAACATCTTCGGACAGCGCTGGCTCTTCGGCTTGGAAACGGAGATGAGCACCGCATCCCTAGAGTCAGATTCAACTGGCTTTTGAGCAAGGGAAACCTTTACTAAGCCACAAGTAAAACAAAAAATGGTACATGCAGCAGAGCGGGGCCAGACGTAGTTTTGCTCTCTAAACTGAGACGTGCGGAGTGGCAGTCTGTTGTGTACCATCTCTTCCTGTAGTTCGAGTTTCCCGTTAGTGAATGGGCAGGTAAGAAGGATATCACGCAGCCAAACGGGGCTCTGTGAGCAAGAGGCAGAAAGAAACCGCTTTATGCTCTAATGTCTATAGGATATACAGGACCACGGTGTGTAATAGCCAGTAAAACAGTAAATCACCGTGTACAAATAAACAATATAAGTTGATTTTTATCTGCAATTTTCTAGAATTCAATTATAAATAAAACTACAACCATAACATTATAATATGCAATATAAAGCTTAGCAGTACATATAGAATACTACAGTGCTAGTTTCAGACAAACGACGGAGTTCTAGTACACTGTCCGTTTGCGAGTCCTTCTTCAGGTTTGTCATTCTGTACTTATATCTTCATTAGAATGAAGTGCTGCAAGCCATATTTCAAAATGCTAATTCTTATACAATTTTGATGTACGCCACCGCGCTTATTCTGGTGATTGGGGAGCTCCTATAGCAAGCTCTAATGTGACTGGGTCTACAATATATAATAATTGGCTAAGCTTCCCTCAGAGGGAAGTACAGAATGAGAAACCTGAAGAAGGACTCGCAAACGGACAGTGTACTAGAACTCCGTCGTTTGTCTGAAACTAGCACTGTAGTATTCTATATGTACTGCTAAGCTTTATATTGCATATTATAATGTTATGGTAGTAATTTTGTTTATAATTGAATTCTAGAACATTGCAGATAAAAATCAACTTATATTGTTTATTTGTACACGGTGATTTACTGTTTTACTGGTTATGCTCTAATGTGGCAGTCGGACTACCTAGGATTTTGCGTTAGGCACCACGAGGTGGTGAGCTAGACTTGTTTCTAAGGCAAGAGGCGTTTCAGAGGTGGCTCACCATTGCCGGCCTCTGCATCACGACCCTGGTATTCCTTGGAGGTTGCCCATCAAAATACTAGCCAGGGCTGACTCTGCTTAGCTTCCGAGACCTGACGGGATCGGGCTAGCCTGGGCCATCCAGGTCAGGGCGGTTTTCATCATATCAAACCCCCTCATCTCTCAGAAGCGGTCAACAGTCACAATTTAATCCGAGCATAAAATGTGGACTATTAACCATTTGCTAGCGGGCACCCTCTTCCATGACTCTGTTACTAGAGCCAGGGCATTTTCGGTGGCGGCTCCTACCTGGTGGAAGGAGCTCCCGGAGGAGATCCGGGCCCTGCAGGACCTTTCTCAGTTCCGCAGGGCCTGTAAGACGGAGCTCTTCCGCCAGGCTTTTGAGTAGGAGCCGCCACCACTTCCATTCCACCACCGATAGGTTTGCAGCATCGCACCACTACCACTAATATGTGGTTCCATCTGGGTGCGAGGTGACCCTGGAAGGAGAGGGTGCTGACAAGTTGTGGGACCAATACCATTTGAGGAAGTTCTGCCCCATCTTGCACTGACACTTTGTTGTTGTACTGTATTTTTTTATGGTTTTAGACTGTTTTAATTCTGGCACTTGTGCCTCGTTGGCCGCCCTGAGCCTTCGGGGAGGGCGGGATATAAATCCAAAAATAAATAAATAAATAAATAAATTGACACCCGGCCAGGTCTCAAGGCTTCTCGGGTTGACACTCTTTGTGGAGTGTGCAGTTCGTTGAATTGCTGGCAATAAGAAGCCGCTTTTCTCACAGCGTTGGACCTCAGAGTACTTCCCTGTTTTTTTAAAAAAACAAATTCCACGGAGGATCGCTAGGATACCAGGGAGCAAACGAGGGGCCTTTTACGTTCGAACACCCCGCTCAGAAGCGACACCTTTCCCGTCATTCTGAAGAACAAGGTCCCTGCTGCACCTCGGCTAAGGACACTGGAAATTCCAACCCACAACCGACCTGATGAGCACATCCTCGCCAAGACTCCTACGGCCTCAATCACCGGGCCGTGCGCCTTCTGGCCGATGCACGTGAGAGATGAACACGCAAGCACGAACATTTTTGATCATTCTATGCCTTTTTTATTTCAGAAAATATTTTGTCATAGTTTTTATAAAAGCCGTTTTACAAAAAAAAAAATACAAAATTTGTATTTTGCAATGATAGGGGTCGTAAAGTGGGTGGAACAACTGTCGAAGAGGGAAATTCTGGGGGGAAAGAATTCCCCAGTAACAACACTGAACGAAATAAGGAAGAGCAGGCGTTTTCATCTGCTTCCTGGCTGAAGTTTGGTCCATAGTTAGAAAGGTTGATTGGGTGGGAGTGGGGGCAAACCCCTAACACCGTCTTTACTGTATCTTGCCCTGTGCAAAGGATTTGCTTTCAGAACAGTGAGGATATGTAGTTCCTGGACACCTCCCCACCACACAAAATAAGAGGGGGCTTTACTAACAATTTTGCCGTAGTTGTGTGCTCAGGGAAACGTAGACTGTCCCACTGGAAGACGCAAAATCAGATACAGTGGCGCCACATTTCCATCTGCGGCATCAGGAATAAAATAATCCCGCCCGGTATGAAAACAGGCTACCCGCAACCTTCACAATTAGTTTGTACGCTCTAGCCGCCTTCCTTTTCAAAAGCAGCCACAAAAACACATCAGGGTTGTGAAGTCAAGAGAAATGATTGCATTTTCCTGACAGCTTTATTTATTTATTTATTTTTTAAAAAAAGGCCTAAACTATTCCCAAGAATATAGACTTTCAGGGCCCTTTTCCCACAAAAATCTATTCACTAAGCTCGGGGTAATGTACAGTTACATCTGTTCAACCGTGCTACGTCTCTTTTGATCTACCTAGGGCGTGAAGGAGAGGTGCTAGGAAAGGTGCTAGGAAGTTCTCTCTCTCTCAACCCGGAAGGAGGCAGGGAAAGGAACCCCGATGCCCAAGAGTGGCACCCCCTCCCCACATCACAGCTAAATTCAATCACATCAGAGAAACCGTCATCCCTGTTCCCTCCTCTTGGGGCACTGTTAGAAATAATCAGCATTCCAGGAAAGAGTATTAATTGGCCAGCCCAGGAGGCGGGATGTGGTGATGTAATACTGAATCAGGAAGTAAGAACTTAAAGGGGCCAGATCTATAGGTACTCTCCACTTCTATTTTGGTGGGAGGCTATACTTCTCTCCCTGTTTTACTGCAAAAGGCAGAACTGTGTGTGTTACACGCAGTTCCGTAACTCCTTCTGAAGCAAGGGATGGTTGGGTGGGTATGGAGAAGAGGGTCTTCTTCACCCTTTTGCCCTCATGCTATTTGCCGGCTTCCCCGGCTTCTTTTCTCCCTGCAAAGAATATGGGTATCAGTAACATTTTCCTACAGAGGTAAAAAGCAGTGTGTCTGCAGCCCTCGGACAAAACAATACTGATACCCTTTGTATGCTTGCCCTGAACAGTTTTTCGCAGGAAAGAGAACCACATGGCATTAACGGGCAATTCGCCTGGTTCGCCACCGAACCAAGAAAACCCATTTCTGGCATTGTGCATTTGTGTGCTACACTATCTGGCACTGTCCCAGGGAGGAGACAGAAGGATTCGGACTCGCCGAGCAAACGCTGACTTAGAATCAAAAAGGCATAGAAAAATGAGGCACTGTGTTCGGCAAAAGCTGTCCCTTTTGTGAATTGCTACGCTAGTGTACGCATATATGAGAGATACAGAGAGAGAGACTCACACACACACTCACAGATCAAATATTTTAAAAAGTACGAAAGGCTCCACGGCAATGTAAGGCACTTATTTGCACTGTAACACGCTACGTGATGGGTCGACAGCCTCGTACAGGAGTAATGGAGCAAGCAAGCAGAGCTGGCCGGTTTCTGCAGCTTCCCAAACTCAAGCCAAAGAGCCACCCTGGAAGACGGGGGATGCGGGCCATTGTGAGACATGAGGAAGCCTTGCTGGGGACAGCGTGGTCAAGTCGGGGCAACTCCGAGCCAAAGCGAAGTCAGGCGAGGCCTCAACTCTGAACAACCGTCTCTCTCTTTGGAATGGCGGCTGATCTTCTGCGGACAGTAGAGGCTTCAGAACGAGGGTAGGCCTGGTTTCCGCCAGCCCCGGAGATCCATTTTTACCGCTTCGACATACCAGCTGGGGCCCACCCAGTCTGGCCTAGGTTAGCACCACTGCCTACACAGTTCAGTCCATCGCTCCTCTATAAACATTCTAAGGATGAGGTATATTTAGAATTGGAAGAAAAAGAGAAAGAAGCAGGCACGCTGTGGTAAGTTTGGCTTCGACTCGGAACACCCCCAGGATAGAAGCATTCCGAGATTTTGCTGGGAATGGCCGGCGTTGGTCTGTGCTTTGCCAGCCAGCACTAAGATGAGGGAAGAGACACACTTCCTCAAGCCAGTCAACACTCCTCGAAAGACCAGCAACCGCTCTATTCGGATGTACGGAAAATACACTGAACCTCCGGAAGAACGCCGCAATGTGTGATGCACTGGGGTCAATTCAGTGAATCGGAAGTCTCGCAGACCTGATTTAAGGGAGAGGAGAGAGTGGGTGTGTGCATGCATACAGAAGTGCTAGAATTGCAACATGCACTATTTGCTGTAGGATTCCAACTAAAACAACACAAGCGGGAATAAACCAAACTTCGGCCGGTCTCAGTTTCTCGTATCTCATACGGCTGACGAGGATGCTCGCTCTTTTGTTGTGAAGGGCTGCAGAACAAGCTGCCGTTTCCTAGCCTATTCCCCTACTCCCCGTGCAACCGGGAGAAAATGCCGTTGCAATCAACGGTGCACCACAGTATGCCCGCAGGACAGCATCCTCAATTACGGTATAATCGAGCTGCAAACCGGAGGGGATCTCTGGAGAAGACATTCATGAGGAGGGGATCGATTTGCATTGGGGGGGGGGGCTAAAAGCCACATCCTGGTACTCAAAAACAACTCGGCTACAGGAGGCAACGTGAATTGCATGCTTCAGGAGGTCAGAAGATACTGAAAATTAAAGGAACAACACAGCAATACAGAGAATCCACACATTCTTTTAGAGGGAAGGGCTGACTCGCTCCTCTGCTCTCCCAAAACGCTGCCACCGCTAACGTCTGCTTCCAAAATACAAAATAAAGTGTGGCAGAGTAAAGGGTAGCGTCTGAGGTAGATTTTACATTTGATTCCATCCATACGCTTTGGGGGTAGGTGACTGACCAGGTGATGGGCAATTCCTCCTTTCATCGAGTACTTCCGTCGCCACCTCTCCCGATTCATAACATCCAAATTAATGTGTTAGGAACTGGATTCTCCATCCTTCTGCGCGGTTGTAATTTGTGGAGCCTCAGCAGCAGAGGGAGAACACCACTTCTCAAGAGCCACGAGAGATGGTTGGAAAGGGATTTAGAATTCCCATATGGATGAGCAAGGATTTAGAGCACCTTTGCTATCCTATGTTTGGATGGATCTGGGCAGTGAGATTATACCAGCACTTGCGTTAAAGACACGTGACACAGGAGAGAATGTCAAGGGGTAAGCAAACGGAGGCTAGAAAGACACAAGCTGTCCATTAGCAATACGGCCTTAATAGTCATTTGAGCGAGTGGTGGCGTTTTCCCTCTCCGCTAAGGCACTGTGTGGGTCAGAACAGACTGAGATGCCGAGGCTAGGCCAGACCAGTGGAGATGGACAACTGTCAGGATGGCAGGTCCGATTGCCAGAGTTCTGAGTGAACTCGGAAGAGGAAAAGCAAATGCTTCTCGATGACCAGAGGAAGGAACGTTGGAAAGAAAAAACCTGCATCTGTTCCAAGTCTCAGGAAAGCAAGCGGCGACCAAGAGCTACAATGGCAGCTGCCAAGAACAACTTGGACACAATTCGGAACACGCATACACAGGTTACATCCTGGTCGTCTTGTGAAGGCCTGACCACCTAAAACATCTCACTGAGTTCATGGGATGTATCATGTACTGATAGGGGTAAGGCAGAGAAGGAACACCCCCAGATCCACTCCTCAACCATGGTTCAGACTGTGCTTCCCAGACGCCCCCGTCAATGCTGTGTCCGGAAAAGTCCAGAAGTTCCACATACCCAAAATTTCTATTCCCACGACAATGCATCACATGTCCTAAAGATGCCATCTCTCCAAGACAAAGAAGCACCAGATGCGGAGAATGGAAGGGTGGTGGCAGAAACACTCTTAAGGCCGAGAAGCGATTTCTGAGGAAGACCGGCTCGTAAAATGTTTACGGGAGTGGGGTACAAGCAAGAACAAGTTGGAAGCAAAGGAGAGAGAAAAACGCACGTTAAGGTCATACACGCCGAATAGAGAAACTGTTTGGTGTTCCTAAGCCCCCCATGGCGAGAGGGCCTTTTGGTTGTTCTTGTAAACTGTCTGGAGACAAGAGCTTTCGATGAAGAGCGTTCAAGCCTTCTGAGGTGGAACTTGTGAGGACAGAAAGGGGGGGGAGAGAGAGAGGGAGAGGAGCTGCTGCTAGTCCCAGAATCTTAATTCTTTTGTTCTCCTCCTCCTCCTCCTCCCTCCGCTGTCCTTGCAGGCTCTGTTTAGGCTCTACGGAGACTTCAGTTTCTTGGTACGTGGTGAGGTTCCATTTTCTGCTTTCACGACTCCATTTTCATGGTAGCCTGCAGGGAGAAGAAATGGAGAAAATGATATCGTTGGCTTTTTTTTTTTGTTAAGGACTTTCGAATTCTGCAGTTTCAGGATAGAGATTCCAGAACATGCACCAAGATGGATAATTCATTTTGCCCATAATGATTTCTTAAGCCCAAAGCAAGGGAGTTTGCAATGTGAGCAAAGCTGGTCTCTGGCTATTGTATCTATAGCTTACAGCAGACTCTATCATACAGTGTGTGTGAGGAAGAAGCTAGGAATGTCAGAACATGCTAAACATTGGCTGGTTCATTTATCAAAATTACATCCCTTTCTCTCCAGAGAGGGAAGAACAGTTTACTGGGCCAAACCTGTTTAGCTTCAGGAGCAGACCTGCATCATGTGACTTCAGACTATTCCCCAGACCATCAGAACTTAGCCCAGTCCGCATGGTGACGGCATGGAAGGCTAAAGAGAAAACTGGGAGACCTTTCTGTTGCTGTTACCTGGGCCTATTCAAGTTCCTTACCCACCAACAGAGCACAGCAATGCTATCAGTTTGAGTTAGGACTGTGGAGAAATGTCCTCCACCCTAGGAGTCACACCAGGAATTCAGTCATCAGGACTGCACTCAGTCTATGAGCTGGGACCCAGCTGCAAGCTTGGAGCTGACCAAAAGGGAAAGGTGCTGGGGGATGAGTCATCAGACCCCTAATGCAGAACACTTCAGTGTTTACTGATGCAAACGGCTCTGGCTGGAGTAAGACAAAACCTCTGCTAGAATGTCATACCTAAAGGGATAGAGATTGGGAAATCCAAAAGGCCAGATTGAACTTTCTTCTTTGGGGGGCAGGAACATCAGGACTGCCCCAGAGGGGGACACACTCCCCAGGGGACATTATATAAATTCTTAGGACATGAGAAGGAAGCTCTCTTCTCTTTTTGTCCATCTTCCTCTGACTAGTACAAGCCACGAAGGACTAAACCTTTACCTAAGGACTCCATCTTGACCACGTGTCAAGAGACACTGAGGACAAGTCCCACTTCTGAGAACAAAGGTAATGATGGACTTCTAAATTCCTGCAGCATCCAAAATTACTAGCCTAACCTAATTAAACATTCTTTAGGATAAGTATAGAGTTTCGGATTTAGAGGACTGCCTGCTTGCACCTTTTCTTTATATCATTGCTCAGCCTGATGTCTGAACAGACCATGTGTACTATTTTTATTTTTGCTTATTAAACTTTCTTACCTTTTGAATGCTTGAAGCTGGATCGCCCTGGACCCACCATGCCTATTCAGTCCTGCTTTCCAAACAGTGGTAAAGGAGAGGTAAAGCAGGTGAGCTCTCCATGCCTTCAGTGCAATAGCTCTGAATAGGGATGGGCACGAACCAGCTCACAAGCCAAAATTCGGCATGAGCTTGGACTGGTTCGGAGCCCCCGAACCAATGTTCAGGGAAGGCGCCTTCCCCGAACATGTACCGGACTTTTGTCCGGTTCAGCTGTTCAGACCATTTAAACCTCACAGCTGAGCAGCATGGGTCTGCTGCTGACCTGTCAGGTTTAAATGGCTGTGAGCCATTTCACCAGTCAGTTTTGCTTCCCCCCGCTTCCAAGCAATGTTAGAGTCTAGTATACATGCAACATTTCCCACTATTTAAGCATAGATAAGAGACTGGGGCTTCCTTCAAATGTCATAATAACAGCTGAAGAGTGCACGATTGCACCTGCCCTGCTGTTAGGCGAAAATGCCCGAAAACCGTTTCACTTCACCACACTCCCAAGCTTCCAAGCCCTTCTGTTTGGTTGAAATGGCTGCCAGCCCCGCTGTTACGTTGAAATGGCTTCAAAGCAGGGGGAAGCAAAACAGACCAGTGAAATAGCTGCCAGGCAGTGTTCCCTCTAAGCTGAGTTAGCGTGAGCTAGCTCAGAGTTTTTTAGCCTCCGGCTCACACATTTTTGTCCTAGCTCAGGAAGGGATGGCTCCAGAGCAAACTAACTTATGCAGGAGCCAAATCGCTCACTCACAACTTTAATGCAAGTAGCTCACAAAGTAGAATTTTTGCTCACAAGACTCCACAGCTTAGAGGGAACATTGCTGCCAGGCATTTAAACCTAACAGTGGGGTGGGTCCATCATCAGCTGTTAGACCTAAATGGCTACAAGCCATTAAACCTGTCAATTTCACCCCCCCTCGAAGTGGGGGGAAGCGAAACAGATGGGTTAAATGACCACCAACCACTTAACCCTCCCTGGATGATTCCCCCCCCCCCTTCTCCCGGCGGCATTAAGCTGCAGCCGGGAGATAGGGGGATCCGAACTCAACATTTGGGGGCATTTCAGTTTGGTTCAGGGTTCAGTTCGGGGGCCGACTCAGAGGAGCCTTTAAACAGTAATGCAGCTACAGTGTGCTAGATGTTCAAATCCTTTTACTGGGAGGTACTTGTTCAGCTTTGTTGGGGGTGGCAGTGATTACTACCCAGAGAAAAGACAGTGCCCCCAGGAGAAAGGGGAAGGGGCAGCATTGCTGGGTGGAGACCTGGGATGGTTGCGGGGATTTTCCAAACTCCCAAGATCTGAGGGAACGGGGCTTGCAAGTCCATTCCTTTACAAGGAGTAAAACGAGACGAAAGCAATTTTAGCCAATTACATGCGTTTAAGACAAAAACGGTATTCGCACAGGAGTAGAAATAGTTTCGAAGAAAAGATACGATGGACACAGGGGGTCATGAAAAGTACTATCTTTGAAGACCAGACTACCTTAGTGCAGTCAAACCTTAAAGATACATTCCAGCATCCCTCCGTCAGATGTACTGTAGAGTGCCTTCAGCAAGTGGACGTTTATATATGATGTTATGAAGGAAGAGAGTACTGAACAGCAGGGTCAAAAGGCCATGAAATCCAGGAAGTACAGGATGAGATGCAATTATGTAAAATTCAAATGTAATCAAGAGTAGTGCAGCAATCCTTTTACAATATCAGTAACTGGCAGTTGCCTTAGTTTTCCATGTATGGGTGCATGGGTATACACTTACACAGACACGCACTTAAGGATTCACCCTTTCAATTAGTCAAGAGTTTAATACGTCTAAGTGATTAGGTGACGAAACAGTCCAGCCTTACTTAAATCAGTCATGGGCTTAATATACTCAGGGATGATGCTCACCAGACTCCCTTTTGACCGTCTTGGACTGCTGCTTGCCATGGACAGCCACCGCGGCAGCTCTCTTCCGGGCACTCTGCTCGTTCCGGTACTCCCGCCAGCGCCGGAGCTGGAAGTGGATGAAGCGCCACATCATCCAGGCCTGTGAGAAGCACACCAGAAGCAGCACGAACATCCTAGGAAGAGGTAGGAGGCAGGCAGGCTTGAAAGAAACCAGTGGCTCAGCAGGTTCTAAGGAGACGCGGGTGGGGTAAGGAAGGGCTCTTTGTCCTATTAAAAGAGGATTCTTCCCTGTTGTTGTTGTTGTTCAGTCGCACAGTCGAGTCCGACTCTTTGCAACCCCATGGACCAGAACACACCTTCCCTTCCCTAGCAGGTACTATACAGATGGGGCATTTGTTTTGATCCAAAGCCAGCTGTGGACAAAGTCTCGAAAACATGGAGGACATCTTCAGAAGTCTCGATTTGCACCACTCGGAGGTTATTTAAAGGTAACAGCCACCTTTATGTCTCATAAGCAAGGAGCCCCATGATATCTGAGGCTCATATCCCCGTCTGTTAACGTTGCATCTTCGATCATGGTGTAGAAATACATTATAAACACCAAGCTACCAACCTCCCTTACAGGTAAAGGGCACAGGAAGGTTACAGCCTAGTATACATGTGACATTTCCCACTATTTAAGCATAGATAAGAGACTGGGGCTTCCTTCAGATGTCACAATAAACCACAGTAGAAAAGAGCAAGGGTCCAAGGAGCACCTTAAAGATTAACAACATTTGTGGCAGGGTAGGAGCTTTCGTGAGTCACTGCTCACTTCTTCAAGATGGTATCTGAAGAAGCAAGACGCAGTTCCTCAGACGGCTCTTTTCTTCTTCAGGGAGGCTCTTTTCTACTGCTACGGACAGACTAACACGGCCACCCATCTTGATCTATCACAATAAACCACGGTTTGCTTAAAATGTGGTTTAGGCAACAAATCCCAGTCAGTGTATAAATGAGTTGGATCCACTAGAAGAGTTCTGCGTGTGCAAGCAGAAATGCGCTAAAAAACCCTACGCTGCCCATTTCCACTAAGGCAGGCTACAGCACAAATAAATAAGTACATTGTATCCAACTTGCCTTTCTGCTTGCACAAGATCCTGTGCAAATGACTTGAGGAAAGTGATCAACTTGTGTGGCAGTATATCTAGCGCTGTTGCTTGCGCACGCGGAACTGTGCTAAGTGAGTTTGTCTCTCTGTTCACACATGGGTTGATCCAACCCAACGTTTACAAGCCACTATTTACTATGATACCTGACTGCCCCCTGAAAGCAAGATACGGGACAGGGCATGTCCTTCTTACCAGCCCTTTCACCACTCTTTGGAGGGGAACCTCCCCAGCTTCTCTTGCTGGCTGGAACCAGCACAAATGATAATACGAGTTAAGGCTCACCAAGTTCCTTCTCAAACAGGGTGTTTTACTGGTCAAATTCTAGTTTAATAGACAAGTTAAGAGGAATCGTCAATTTAGGCCAACTGTAGTTGGCCGGTCCCAGTGTAACACTTAACAGTGATTAAAGCTGGAGGATGGAGAAGAATGCAGAGAAAGTCACGGAGAGTGCCTGAACCTGCACTTTACTTCCACTCTCTTAACCACGTTTAAGAGATCAGAAGCATTACATCCATACCCGAGGGGCCGTCTTTCCCCATATATACCCCAGAGAGCACTGAGGTCGGGGTCCCAGAACTGACTGGCCCTGCCGGGACCCAAGGATGCCAGGCTCGCCACCACCAGGTCCAGGGCTTTTTCAGTGGCGGCTCCGTACTGATGGGATGACCTCCCGGAGGCGATCAGGGCCCTGCGGGATCTTATGCAATTCCGCAGGGCCTGCAAGACGGAGCTCTTCCGCCAGGCTTTCAACTAGGAGCCGCCCCCACTACTACCAATGAGCCGCCCCGTAGTTGTGACATCTGGCCTCTACCACTGTGCTCAGGAAGATCACTGAGTGGCAAACTGGCGGTATGGTATCTCCAGCCTGCCATCTTATGTGTCTAATGTATCAGCACTTAGCACTTTATGAGATTCTGGTTTTATTGCAATTGAATTTTAAACTGCTTTTATGTTTATGTTTACATCTAATTGAATTTTTAATCGCTGCCAGCACTTTGGATTGTACTATTTTTAACTGCTGTGTTTTAATTATCTCTGTTTTATTCTGTATTTTATGTTACTTGGAAGCCACCCTGAGCCTGCTCTGCCGGGGGTGGGGGTGGGGTAAAAATCTGACAATAAATAAATAAATAAATGTGAACAAATGGTCATTTACAGACCAATTATGTACGCCACCCTGAGCCCGCTCGCGGGGAGGGCGGGGTATAAATAAATAAATAAATAAAGGTTTCCCTTGCTCGAAAGCCAGTCGAATCCGACTCTAGGGATGCGGTGCTCATCTCCGTTTCCAAGCCGAAGAGCCAGCGCTGTCCGAAGATGTTTCCATGGCCATGTGGCCGGCATGACTAAACGCCAAGGCGCACGGAACGCTGTTCCCTTCCCACCGAAGTGGTACCTATTGATCTAATTGCAATTTCTTGCTTTTGAACTGCTAGGTTGGCAGGCAGGAGCTGGGACCAGAGACAGGGGCTCACTTCGTCATGTGGCACTCGGGTCTCGAACTGCTGAACTACTGACCTTCCGGTCTGCAGTCATCGTTTTAACCACTGGAGCCACCGCAGCCCTATTACTACCACCCCCAAATGACTACCTGACAGGTGGCTGAATTCAAGCATCCGTCTTCTGATCAGAACGGACTGCCACCATAGAATCATAGATTGAACAGAGCTGGAAGGAGCCATAGAGGCCATCTAGTCCAACCCCCTGCTCAGTGCAGGATCAGCCTAGAGCATCCCTGACAAGGGTATGTCCAGCCACTGCTTGAAGACGGCCACTAACGGGGAGCTCACCACCTCCCGAGGCAGCTGATTCCACTGCTGCACAACTCTTGCTGTCAAAAGGTAAGGTAAAGGTAAAGGTTCCCTTGCTTGAAAGCCAGTCGAATCCAACTCTAGGGTTGTGGTGCTCATCTCCATTTCCAAGCCGAAGAGCCAGCGCTGTCCGAAGACGTTTCCGTGGTCATGTGGCCAGTACGACTAAACACCAAGGCGCACGGAACGCTGTGACCTTCCCACCGAAGGGGTCCCTATTTATCTACTTGCAATTTCTTGCTTTCGAACTGCTAGGTTGGCAGGAGCTGGAACTAGAGACGGGAGCTCACTCCGTCATGCAGCAACTCGGGTCTCGAACTGCTGAACTACCGACTTTCCACAGCCTGCAGTTCAGCGTCTTAACCACTTGAGCCACCGCAGCTCCTACTGTCAAAAAGATCTTCCCTAATACCCAGCCGGTACATTCCCACCTTTCATTTGAACCCATTCTCGCGCGTCCCATCTTCTGCTGCCAACAGGAACAGCTCCTTGCCCTCCTCCATCTTCCTTCACCTGCTAAAACAGCACGACCCACCAGCGCCTTACCTGAAAAGCAACGTATTGAAGTTTCCTTTTTCGGGGTCGAACGCCTGGTTTTCCACCCGAGCCAGCCCAAAGGCGATGACCAGCACGGAAAGGGTGAGGGTAAAGAGCCGGGAGACGACGAACACCACTGCCCACGCGTTAAACCTGGGCGGAAACCAACAGGAGACCAAGTTCACCGATAAGCACAGCGAGAGAAATTCGCCAGGCCTGGCGCTTCGGAATACCGCGGCAATCTTGAGACTGCTCGGTGTGGCGCTGGGTCCCTGCCGCACCTGATCTGTAAGTTAAAACTGTAGCCCAGATTCACCATCAAGAGATTAGGCAGCTCGAATAATACCCTTGGCTGCCAGATAGGCGGAGGTGCCAATAACGTATCAAGTTGCAGTCGGACGTCTAGGAATCTGCCTCAGCACAATCCCTACATTCCGATCGGTGACTTCTCCGTGACTTGTGAGCGCCCGAGCACAAAACCTGCTGTTCTTTCATGCAGGCAGGACATCTCTCCTCTCTTTCCTTTTGGCTGGAGATGTATTGAAGGTGCTGCTCTTGAGTGCCCTTCTACGTTTGCTTGCCCCATGGAAGGGAACTCAAAAAGGCATTTAAATGCCTTCTGAGCGGTCTCTTCCCAGGTCCCATGATGCCCCCCCCTCAAATTCCACAGTGGGAGGGAGAGGAAAACCTCAAAAGTAAGGCTTCTGTCATGGCTTTTTGTGGGGGGCGGGGCGATTAATTAAGGGGGCGGGGCCCCAAATGCCCCACCACAGCGGCAGGCCTGGCATAGGGGTGGGTGGCTGTCAGGGCCATAGAGGAAGCTCCGCTTAGGCCTCTGAGGCGAAGCTCCGCCGTGAGAGAGAAGGCACCCCTTCGCCGCACCAAGAAGCCACGGGCAGTGGGGCACTTACAGTTTCTCGTTGTTTTCATCCGTGAAGTAGAAGAGGCGAGCCACGTGGAAGAAGAACTCGGCCACGTACTGCAGCAG